CTGAAATTATGCTACAAGCTCCTTGATCAAAACACCATGGTGATGGCAATAAAAGGAGCTAAGGATCAGTGAAACAGAATAAAAGATGCAGAAACAACTCCAAACACTATCAGCCACATTATCTTTGAAAATGCCATCAAACAAGTTCACCAGAAGAACGACACTAATAAATGATGCTTCCTACATGTGGAAGACATAAACTAGACCAAAGTCTATCTTCATGCACTACACTAAAATTGAAAGGAATGAAAGATCTAAATATTAAAACAGAAACACTAACTCTTCAGGACCACAGAATATGTGAAACTCTTGAAAACAGATATAGGCAAAGACTTTATGAACGAGGTCCCAGTTACACAGGAAAAATCACAAATAATCAGCAACTGGAATTTCATTTAATTAAAAAGCTTTTGTACAGCAAGAAAAACCACCCACAGAATGAGGAGACAACCCACGCAATGGAAAAAAAAATTGCCAGCCATTTCTTAGAAAAGGACTATTTTATAGAATATATAAGGAGATATTTAAAAAATTACATGCTCAAATGTAAAGACCCAATCTAAAAGTGGGCATCTGAAATGAATAGATGTTTCTCAGTTGAAGAAATGCAATTGGCAAATAAACATATGAAAAATTGTTCAATTTCTCCAATGATTCAAAAGATTAAAACATTGTTCAGATTCCATACACCGCAGAAAGAATGAATATCATCAAAAACTGAGCCCAAAACAAATGCTGGTGGAGCTGTGGGATAAAAAGATTTCTCCACTTTAAGTGGGCAGTGAACTAACAAAACCACCATGAAAATCAGTGTAAAATTTTGTTAAAAAACTAGGAAAAGAGGATCCATTCCACCCAGCTCTTTTACTTCTTCATATCTTCTCAATTGAATTCAAAGAATCATACCAGATTGAGACATGCACACACATGTTTAAAGAAGCATGCTTCATATTAGCCAAGACTTGGAAGCAACCAAATGCCCATCAGCCTGATGAATTGGTAAAGGAGATGTGGGAGTATATATAGTGCACTTCTCCTCTGCCATATAGAAGCCTAAGCTTGAGATATTTCTATCTACATGGGTGCACACTGAGACCATCCTCTTCAGTGAAATGAATTGGACACACAAGTGTACATACCACATTGTTTTTCCACCATGAGAACACAAAAGAGTAAGTGAGTAACAAAAGGTATAACAGATGTGAAATAGTAAGAAAATGTTCAAATGAGAAGGGGAACTAGGGAAGGGAAGGGCAGAAGAAAAAAGGAAAAATGGAAACAAAGCTCTTGTAAGTAAGGAGGGGATCAAGGACTGAGGAGAGTAGAGAGGAATGGACATAAAAGAATCAACTTATATCATGTACTGAAACCAATTCCCTATGAAGACTGTGATCAGCACATGTTCTTAAAATGCACCAATAAATTTAATTAACTTTTAAAATTTGAAGTTTTCTATTGTTTCAAAATATTTTTCAAAATAAATAATAATGTAGTTTGAAACTTACAAGAAAGTGAAAATCATAAAAATGAACTGATATTTTTCATCATTTTGTGATACTCTGAGGTATTGAGATGACCCAAATCTACTCTTTCTGTCCATCACCACTGGAGACTCAGCTTCCATCTCCTACAGGCCAAGTAGAAGCCTCCTCTACCGTGATGGAAACATCTCTTCAATTCACTTATAGAGAAGCCAGGTCACCCTCCATAATGTATGCTTTATAACACTTTCAAGAAGCAATTTTATGTCTCAAAATATCCAGTGGCAGTAGGTCAGCACACATTTCACACTCAGAATCAGCAGGGTGGAACCTGAGTATGATAGAATTTATTACTGTGTCCAAGGTCCACAAGCTCTGCCTGCATTGTTAGATTCTCAACATAAACCTCCCTGCTTGGGGCGGACCGCTGCCCTCACGTGCTACTTGCCTGGGGAACAGCACAACCAGTTGTCTGAGACTGTGGAAGAGAAAGACGGTGATGCCCTGAGAGGAGAAAATTGTGACTAAGGTTTGTATCCCCGTGGTACCTCAGCTCCTACCTAGCACAATTCATTAATAACATTGTCAATTGTAATGACCTTCACAAGACAAATGCGGCAGCAAAACAGATGACCCTGGTTTTACAGTCAGCAGAGAAGATTAAACAGGAAGAGGCCATGAGAAACAAAGACCTGTGCTCCAGTGAAGCCTGAATATACAGGGGAGGGGAGTGAGGGTGACTTCACAGGTTCCTTGTGTGCCTTAAACATTCCTGGCATTTTATGAAATTTGGAACTTAAATCAAATCACAAGCATGCAAAATGGACTTTGGTTTTAGACAGGCGAACTAGGAGGAATGCATCAAGTCCAAAAGAAAAATTTCACTGTACATTACAGTATTGTACAAACATATCTTTCCAAATTGAGGAAAATATAAAGAAGTTTCATGACAAAGAGCCCTTTAAGAAAGTCAGGACCACCAAACCAGCACTAAAAAGAGTTAGAAGTTCATCAGAAGGAAAAAATACAGAAATCACAAACAAAGTAATAATGCAATGACAGGAATTACTCAATATCTTTCACCAATAAGTCACAACGTAAAAGCCTTTACAAATAACATTTTAAGGATCAGAGATCACACAGTCAGAAATTGTAGCAGTTCAAAAATAATTCAGCCAGGTGTGGTGCCATGTCCCTGTACCCCAGCCCTCAAGAAGCTAAGGCAGGAGAATAGCTGCATATTCGAGGACAGCCTGGGCTACAAAGTAAATTTAAGACCAGCATACATTGCACAGTGAAACCCTCTCTCTAAAACATGACAAAATATCAATAATTCAAGTATGAATGAAAACAGTAGAAATTACACAAAGCAAATGGTCTGCACCAGAATTGGAGTCGGAAAAACATATTGAAGAAATCAAAGTACATTATGTAGAAAAGTGAACCTAACAAAAAATCATTAATCAACAATATAAAATTGATATTTCATGGTACTTTATAAGCAAGATAAATTTATAACTCATCTGGAAAATTTAAAGCATTAGCACATTACTGACAAGAGAGTATTGATTTCATTAATATAATCTCCCCTTTTGTATCACTTTTACTAGATAATGTACTACAAATTCTTAAAATCCAATTCAAATTTGATCTAAAATTGGTGCCGTACCCTACTGTAACACACCCAAATTGTACATAGGCACAGGGACTGCTGAATTTCCAAGGACAAGAATATGAAAGCTGAATCAATATGCCCATTATTTTCCACCAAGTTCTCATATCTTCCCTACATTTTTGTGAAACTTTAAAACCATGCTCTCCAAAAAAAGAAAAGGGGTTGGGGATTTAGCTCAGTGGCATAAGTGCCTGCCTTGGAAGCAGGCAGTTGTGAGGTCGATTCCTGGTACTGATAAAAATGAAAAAGAACAACAACAACAAAAAAAACAAAAACAAAAACAAAAAAACTGCTCTGTGCCTGTTCCCATGAACTCAACCCTTTTTTTCTGTCATGTTACTCACTGCTGTTAATTCAGTCTAGATAGATAAAGAATAGAATCTATAAATGAGGCAAAGGAAAATACACTAAGGTATGCCATGTACATGTACCTACCCCACACAATAAATGCGATCGTTATGCATTGCAAACATATATCAATCAAAATGTGCAACATTTCAAAAACAACAAAAATAGAGCCTAGAAATGTCAAACACAAAATCACACCAACCTTTCCAAGTCTTTACAGAGAATGTGAACACTCAAGAGACAGAGACACAAGCAGGATGACACAGCCATCATCCCAGCATTCAGGGAGCCTGAGGCAAGAGGATGGCAAGTGCTGGCATAAACTGACAAAATTAGTCACTTAAGATTACTCTGTTTCATAAGACAAAAAATAATAGTCAAAGCCGCTGAGACACAGATTAGTGAGAAGACTATGCGTTCCCAAGGGCAGGAGCGGAAAAGGCAAAGAAGGAGATGGAGGAGAAGGACAGGAGAAATATTTCGAGCATTGTATTTAAAATGAGAGCAAACAAGAGGAAATATCTATTTTTCCAATAAGGCTCCACAGTTCTGGGGGCATGAGCCAGAATTCTCTGACTGTCATTTTAAAAATACCAGGAACTTCAGGTCTTCAACACCAGGCTTATCTCCTGGCTTAGAGGAAGAAATCTGAAATTAAAATCCCGCAGCAGATCTGACCCAGCATCAAGCCCAGGATTATCCTGACCAGAGCAGCTCACTCATTCACACTGTGCAGAGACAGGAAGAAGCCTGGGGTCATCCTGATGTCCTCACACAAGGTCTCCTTTTCACACAAGCACTGCGGGTGCACAGTGCTAGGACAATAAAACACAGAGATGACAAGGACATTTATGGCCACTTAGATATCTATGAAGTTATACCTCCTCCATCCACACAGGACTTAAGGGGAGTTTTTGCCTTAAGAACTATTTTTATTAATCTGATGTGTGTGTGTGGCATAGACACATCCACACATTTGTATACAGATACGTATTTGAGAAACAAGTACATGTATTAAATTTTATACTAATGTAAATAATTTCACAAATAAATCTCAATGGAGATAAACACAACAGATCATTCAAAAAATTTTAAAACACACTTAAGAATTTTATATTCAATGCAGAAGTCATAATTTCTTCAAAATTTCCACTTCATTTGCACAGTACTATTAGGTATATGTCAGAAAACAACATATAAATTCTTTCAACATGACTGTTTTTATCCAGTTTAGCCACCATATTCAATATGGTGCTCATGCTCCTGTCACAGGTGCAGACTTTCACCCTTCAGTCCTCATGCCCACTACTGCAGACAGCAGGGACTTTCTATCCGTTCCCTCCAAACACAGAGGACAGTTTCTACCACCAGCAAGCAGCAGAGTCTTCCACCTGCCCCTTCACTCTTTCCACAACACTGCACACATCAGGGCATTTGCATCTTGCTCCTCAGAAAGGAACTGCCCATGCCAATCTGAGATAAGAGCTCCCTTGTCACCTCACCTGGGGAATCAGGACTCTGAGTCCAGCTTCTCAACATGAGGCTCCCTGCTCAGCTCCTGGGGCTGCTGATGCTCTGCCTGCCTGGTAAGGACACCTGGAGGTTAGAGAGAGATGGGGTGAGAGGTGGGCTCTGGATACCCTCTCCTGCCCAGATGTGCTTAGAGCATAGTGCTATGGCCTAGACTGAAGTATGAAGAGAGGAGGATCTGGTCTGCAGGATGAGGAGAATTCCAAGTGAAAGAGGACCTCGGTCCTCTGCTCATGATTTTACACAAAAAAGACAGAGATGCTGCAGGAAAACTCTATGTGTGCCCTTGGGACTGCTAGTCTAGGGCCCCATTCTTCAAACTGAATGCTTTTGTACACAAATTAGAATGACAAAAATAATTTAGACTGCTATATAAGAAAAAGGGAAAACAGTGAAAATGGCTCAAGATATTTGCAAGTGATCTCAAAATTCTCCTTTATCTTTTTAGGATCCACGGGAGAAGTTGTGGTGACCCAGACCCCACTCTCTCTGTCCATCGCCCCTGGAGAGCCAGCCTCCATCTCCTGCAAGGCCACTCAGAGCCTCCTGCATAGTGATGGAAAAACTAACTTGAACTGGGTTGTGCATAAATCAGGCCAGGCTCCACGACGCATGATTTATCAGGTTTCCAATCGAGACTCTTGGGTCTCTGACAGGTTCAGTGGCACTGGGTCAGGCACAGATTTCTCTCTCAAAATTAGCAGGGTGGAAGCTGAGGATGCTGGAGTTTATTACTGTTAGCAAGGTACACATGTTCCTCACACAGTGCTACAGCCCTGAACAAAAACCTCCCTGCCTGGGGAGGCTCAGCTGCCCTCCTGCACTGCTGTCTGGGGAGCAGCACAGCACACAGCCTGCTCTCTGTGAGAGGAAGAGCTTGAAGAAGCAGAACAACAAGAAGCAGCTGAGGCCTCTGCCTGGCACTGAGAGTGAGGAAGACAGCAGAGCAGCAAGGCCCTGTGTCATGGAAGAGAAAGCCATGAAAACTCTCCACTCCGAGGTCTTCCTTGTGCACACCCTTGACCCACCAGATGCTGCAGTGAAAAGTAGGCAGACGGTGACTGAATTTTAAAGGCAAAACAATTAAACGTCTTTGTCTTTCTGGATGTGTTCCATGAGAACAAGGTGAAATTCGGGGCAATTGTTCCACTGGTTGATTCTGAGCTACTAGAGAATTTGAATCCATCTGTTGTGAGACCAGGGGAGCTGAAGGGAAGCAGCAAGGAGAGGCAGTGGGGCCTGAGCACTTGGAAGGGAGCAGCTTAAAATCCTGAGGAGTTGCCAGCCACAGGCTCACACTTTCCTAACCCAGAGGCACAGGAGGGATTCTGGGGATCAGGGAACTGCTCTGAGCTACCCAAAACAACTCCAAAGAACAAGGAGAGTGTAAACAGATGAACACAGACTGGGACCCCGAGGTAACACAGTGTGCAAAGCAAAGAGATGAGGAGAAATCCACAGGGCAGGCCAACAAGGACTGGCTACTCATATTTTAAAGCGGAACTGAGGGAAATTCATGCCTCAGAGACAAAATAACATTAATAGAACCATTTTTCAATTTTCAAATGTAAATTTAACATATGTTACACTCAAAGGAAATTTCCCTTGAGGAACATTGCTATTAAACCAGCCAAACTATTTCACTTGTGGGATGACAAACCCTTGAGCAGCGGGATACTGAAGGCTTAACCTACAGAAGTGTGCATGTGCTGCCATCTTCCGGTGGAATTCATGCACTGCAAGTTGCCATCAATGTTCAGCCTCTTTCAAACTCTTTATTGTAATATTTTGCTTACAACATTGTGACCTAATTCAGCATCAGCAGTACTGCCACAGATATCTAACGAAACTAACGATTTAATGTTTCCATTATTTTCATTTTATTTATTGGAAAATGTCTCATATAGAACACTGGTTAAAATCATTTTCATCCTCCTCTTAACATGATCTAGTGCTCTTATAGTCATTAGAATTAAACCTTGCACACACCCCTGCCCCAGTCAAGCACAGCACACAAACAATTCTCCACATTACAGAAATCAAGTGTCTTGGGCTCTAATAATCTTGCAATACTCACTTGCATTGCTGCTATCAAACCACCACTGATCACAACTAGAAGCAGAAACACAATCAAAATTATGCATCAAATAACCCTACCAATATCATATTACTACAATATCACATGATCCTTATTGACACTTATTTGTTCACAAGGAAGATCTTGTTTTAACCAACAATTCTGATTTTTTTTCTATGAGATGCCTTTTGCACAATTTTGGATTGCATTAAAATTTAATCCTACAAGTGACAGTGATATGGGAACTTAATTCAATTTTGAACCCAAAGTAAAGCCTCACTGGCCTCACCCTAGTCTGTCCCACGTATCAGGGGCTCCAAGGACATGGAGGATTTTATGAATGTGAGACTGGCATTTTCAGTGTGAAAGCAGCCCGACACTGAGAACAATATGATCAATGTGTAAAAACTCAGGACTTGAAGGCGCAACCAGAGATGAACAGCTCATTGTTAAAGTTCTCCCATTCAGGCCCAGCCTTCTGGAGAGAAAAAACCAGGCAGGCACTCACCAGAGTCACAGCCACAGATGGGCATGAACTCAAGACTGATTAGCAAGGGCAATGGCACCTGGCAACGAAGTCATGAGTCATGAGGCCCTGAGCAGGAGAAGAATTCAGCAATGTCAGGGTCAAAAAGCAGAACCCAGAGAACAGGTACAGGGGAGAAAAGGACTCCCTATAGGACACATGGTTAGACAGTAGAGAGCAGGCAGGGCTGATCACATTGGATCAGCTTGCAGAGATGAGAAAAATCTCTAATCTGGGACTGCAGGCATGGCTCAGTGGCAGAGTGCTTCACCTGGTGTCAGTCTTAAACATCCACAATAAAACAGACAGAAGAAACCTTCCATCTTCATCCATCACCAGACCAGACTCCTCTAAATCTGTGGACATTGAAGGGGACATGAGGAGTATTCAGAGTTCACCAGGTTCAAAACGCAGCAGTCAATGATGGCTTACAATCATGGGGCTTGGGGACCATGACAATAAATCAGGAGAAAGATAAATCACTGAAAAATTAAAGCAGAGTGTTGACTTGCTGTGCATTTCTCTTTGTTTTCAAATAAAGGATTTTTATTATTATTTCACATTTATGGTGAGAAATGAATCATTCCTACATTCAAATGAAAATCACAGCATTGGGAAAAATACACTCACTTACACAGGATGGCTAAGATGAAGAACTGAGGATCTCATCCTGGGTCTGAAATGATCTCCCTGCCTCCTCCTCAGGGAAGAAACCTTTGGTCAGAGAATGACTCTGTCCAGCCTTAACAGGATTGTGAAATTTTCTGGTTGCAAATGAAGATCTCAGCACTTCCATTACTCTACTTGGCTCTCAGACAGCAACAGGGCCTTCAGAGCCACACAACTAAGATGAGGCAGCAACGAGAGTGACACCCTCAGGGCCAACTGCAATGAAGCCACCTGATGTGGCCACTGGGTAGATTGTGCACCTGAGCCCCGGGTCATACTCCAGCATCTCCATTTAATGCAGAGTATGCAGTGGCACCATGTGTACAAGAAAGGATCACACGAATCCTCTTTTTGAATTTTCAATGAAATAAAAGTGAAAATATTATCCAACTCAGTACTTAACAGCTCACATGAAATTCCAGGAAAGAAAAAAAAAAATGTTAGCCAAAGAGAATAACAGGAATTTGCACCAGATGAGAATCAATGCTACAGCATAGCCACAATCACAGAACTTTTTCCTTTTTTGACAGTTTGATACAAATACATTTTACATTTATGAAAAGCCACATTTCTAATATTTATTTCCATTGATTTTGATCCATGTTTTCCTGTATGTCCAAAAACATATTCCGACTCCAAGGCAGGACCAGCACCCATTGACTTTCTCAGGTGCACTCTGTTCACCTACCACAAACTCTCCTGAGACTCACTGCTGTCTGCACCCTGCAAAAATGCTCTAGATGTCTCAGGTGCCCATAGAGAGCTTTCCTTCAATGTGGACACCACAGACTATTTAAATTTCTGTGTTGTTCTAGAGAAGATGTGTTTTTTTCATTTTGTATAATGTATGTCAGACATTCCTGTTGTCATAATTCTGTAGATAGCTCAGCTGTTGGTGAGGCTCTTATCTTGGCACATCCCATTATAACTTTCAGCAACACAGCCAACATCACTGTGCATTCTATGTGGTGCCACTCAATACATCTGTTCTTCTGGTACACACCAGCACACTAGGCAAGCAAAGAAAAGTCACTTCACACAAAAACATCTTGAAATCCACGGCCTTCTTCACTGTCTGTCTAAGAACAGTTGATGCTTATTTCTAAATAAATTGATGTATGAATGTAATCGGGACATTATTTCAACAAGGGAACAAAGTTTTTCTCCCCCAAAACAGAACATTTTTAATTAACTGAGATTGAAAGACACCAAGGCAGAATCTTTGGGACACAAAATCACACCCTTCATTCCTATGGACCAAAATTCCTCAGCATTGATATCTGGAAAGCACACAGGAAGGTGGTACACACAAGTGTGACCTGAAGAGGGTCCAGGAGATGAAATGCTGGGAGATGGACAAATGAGGGACACAGGCTTGGTGACTCCTCTAGGAGTAGGAAAGGCACACAGTTCCTTCTAGATCCTCCAGAATGAGCACACCCTGAAATCATCCTAGTTTTATCACATTGAGCATAGAATTAAACTTCTGACCTCTGGAACTGTAACACAATGACTTTGGCATGTTTAAGAAATAATTTCATGTAAAATCTTACTGTAGAAATAGAAATCTAATGTGAAAGACTTTACTGAGTTTTCCGGCAAGACTCTTACATAAGAACGGATATAAAGAACACCAATCCATTTAATTTTCTGCTGCACATTGTCACCTTTCTGATCAGGAGGAATGGGACATAGTCTTTAGGCAGATGGGGAGAGGGAAACTCCCATGTCACATGACCAGCAAACAGCAGGACAGACACTACAATGAGTTTGTGCTCCAGGATGAATCACAGGGGGAGAATGACTACAACTCAGTTGACAGTCATTATATGTCATGCCTTCAGCTTAGATGTTGATGATAGTAACACTGAAGTCTCTCCCAGACCCACGACCACTGGTCAGGTGAGAGACCCGGACTCTAAACTGTCTGTGCAGGGAGTGAGCAGTTTCTGATGGAACCAGGATGAGTAGCTGACCTGCTTGACCCTAGCCCGGGCTACACAGTGAACTCAAGGCCAGGCTGAACTACAAAGTGAGAAACTGCCTCAAAAGCCCAAAAAGTACAAAATATTTCAAAAGAATTACTACCCTAAGAACAATTTTCATTAACTTAGTGAATATGTACATATATGCACTTATATACAGCTATCTACAAACATTTTAGATGTATATTCATTCATGTGTGTATACAAATAGATACACATTAATTTATAAACACATAGAGATACATTTCTATACAAATATATGTTTATTGTATACCCATCTACATGTTAATATGTGTTCATACTCATAGTAATATTTCTGTATGGAGATAAGTAGAACAGGATATTCATCAATTAAACTAGTGCTCAGGAATTGCATATCCATTACTTAAGGCACGATTATTTCCCCCTTCTCCGTTTGCCTTCAACAGGGCACTTAGTTCCCTAGCTGAAACAGTTATTTTTTTTAAACTTCCTGGAAAATTCTGTTGACAGCAGTGTCCCATGATGTGTAACCACTGGGCTAGTGAAGACTAATATCTCAGTGGTTCACTTGGAAATGACATTTTCTAGAAGCCCTCTCCAGGCTGAACAGTAACTGCAGGTGGGTATGGTTTCCTTACTGTTGAAGGGCACTGTGCCCACCTTCCAATAGGGAAAAAGACTTTAGCAATAAG